TTTTTGCTTCATTTAGGTTTAATGTTGCATTTACTCTAAATTACCTATGTCTGAGTATGTAGGGGGAGAGGTGACACCAAAATCTCTTGGTACTTAGGTTTCCAAAAGTTTTCTCTAGTCCTGTCTTGAGGCCAAGGAGGTAAAGGACAGGGACTTTACTATTTGGTGACTAGAACAGTCTTGAGTCTCAGGGGAAGATTCTTGCCAGAAAAATTTCCCCTGATCGTACATGGTCACATTGACCCTACGTGGAAGCAAGGTTGATATGGACACATGGTCACAATGTTGGGAGTTCTGGGGGTGAGTAGTGCCAACAACCTAATTCAAGACTGCTGAGCAAAGAAGGGTCAGGGGGATTCAGCCTATAGCCTGGTTCTCTCTCCTTCTCAGATTATTGGCCTGGCCCTGGCAAGTTCTCCCGCACAGACTACGTGGCCAGCAGCATCCAACGTGGCCGAGATATGGGGTTGCCCAGCTATACTCAAGCCCTGAAGGCTTTGGGGTTGGAAACCCCAAAGAACTGGAGTGACATCAACCCCAATGTGGACCCCCAGGTGAGAAACAGTAATGATGGCAATAGCAGCTAAAACTTTTTTGTTTTAAGATCTGTGCACATGTAACTCATTTAATCTACATCAAGAATGTTATAGGGTAGATACTATCATTGTCCTTATTTTACCAATGACATGGTTGGTAAGTCAGTCATAGAGATGGGATTTAAACTCAGTCATCTGATTCCAGAGTATGTTTCTCACCACTACATTGTACCATTCCTACAGGGTGGCCTCAGGGTGATCTCTGTATTGGGTGCCATTGTCCTATTCCTGCAGGATCCTTCCTTATGAAATGGGTGACCTTGAAACTGCTAATTATTAGGGCCAGATAGCCTGGGTGGTGGTGGTCACAGGATATGGCCCAAAGGCACCTAGCAGTGGTTTCACCATCGGCAGGGACACGTGGGTCCTCCCACCTGTCTTGCCACCACCTGAGGGGGATGGCCTAGGAAAAGTAGGCTCCTTCAGGCCTGAGCAGCAAGCCAGGCAGCTGATAGAGTCCTGTGTTTAAGAATGGAGCCACAGTGGCTGCCCTCCCCAACACACATGTGCACACACACGTGCACACACATATTCCTCACCTCCTGTGGTGCCCCAGGTGCTGGAGGCTACAGCTGCCCTGTACAACCATGACCTTTCCCTGCTGGAGCTGCTCCCTGGGGGGTTCTTGGAGAGCCACGGGGACCCAGGGACCCTCTTCAATGCCATCGTCCTCGACCAGTTTGTGCGGCTGCGGGATGGTGACCGCTACTGGTTTGAGAACACCAGGAATGGGTAAGGCCTGCATGAACTTCCGCCTCAGATGCCACTTTGGCTTGGAGCCCCAGGGCCTCTGCCTGTAAGCAGCCCCACGGGCCCTGGATTCCCAGCTGGCCTCACCTCCTCTTTAACCCCTCTGTGTCTCTTTCCTCATCTGACTTCCTGGGCCCAATATTGCTGGAGGCTGGCAGCCCTTTCTCATCCCAACCATTCGTGGCTTTCTCCAACTTAGGCTGTTCTCCAGAGAGGAAATTGCAGAAATCAGAAACACCACTCTTTGGGACGTCCTAGTGGCTGTTACCAATGTGGACGCCAGTGCCCTGCAGCCCAATGTCTTTATCTGGCATGACGGTGAGTGACAATCAGAGAAAGGACCAAGGATGGGGCGAGTCACTTGGTACTGTCCAGGGAACCAGGTGCCAGGCAGCATTTTCTGTGTGCTGCTGGGAAGCCTGCTTTAGGCTGCCTCCCCCAGTAGGTACTGGACTGGTTTGCAGGCTGCACTCTGTGATCAAACTGGGGTAGGTACTGAGAACAGGATATGGAAAGGGACTTTTTGAGGGGAACCAACTCCAGAGAGGTGGGCCTAGTAAGGAGAAGTGTACCTCGTCCTTTACAGGAGAGAGGGGAAGGGTACCTGGCCAACTAATGAGATCCTCAGACTTTAAGGTCTTGTGTGTCCTCTCCCTCAGGTGCACCCTGCCCTCAGCCTCGGCAGCTCACAACTGAAGGCTTGCCCAGCTGTGTGCCCCTGACGGTGATTGACTACTTCGAGGGCAGTGGTCCTGGTTTTGGCATCACCATTGTGGCTCTCTGCTGTCTTCCATTAGGTGAACTCTTCACACCCTCACCCACTGCTTTCCTCCTGGCTGCCCCCCTGCCCACAGAATGTCCTTGCCCCTCATGACCTGCTGGTCTGTGGGAGTAGCTCTTTGCTACAGTCAAAGCCAGGCTCAGGGGACCTTGTGAAGGGAGGAGTAACAGGACCCTCAGTGAGGCTGCAGGCAAGAGGCTCCCCTCCCCACTGGCTCTTTCTGATCCTTTTTAGTGAGTCTGCTTATCTCTGGGGTTGTGGCCCATTTCCGGGGCCGAGAGCGCAAGAGACTACAGAAGAAAGGCAAAGAGAGTGTGAAGAGAGAAGCAGCCAAAGATGGGGTGTCAGGTGAGATGGGGCTGAAGGGAGAGAGGGAAATGGGGCCCAGATAGGGGCCCCTGGGAGAAAAAGCAGGTTGCAGATGTGGGGAGAAAGCCAGGCTTTGGGGGTGTCTGCTCAGACTGGTAGAGTGGAATTGGTTTGAGGTCAGGGGCCTGGGTACCTGTGCTGAACGTCTCTGCCCAATTGTCCCTTCCCCAGCAATGGAGTGGCCAGGCCCCAGGGAGAAGAGCTATCCCATCACCATCCAGCTGCTCCCAGACCGACGTCTACAGGTCCTAGACAGGCGGCTGTCTGTGCTCCGCACCGTCCAGCTGCAGCCCACACAGAAGGTCAACCTCATCCTGTCCAGCAACCGCGGGCGCCACACCCTTCTGCTCAAGATCCCCAAGGAGTATGACCTGGTATGGCCAGCCTGCCTCCCCTACCTGGAATGCTCCTATATCTCCCCTCTCAGAGCGAGGCCTGTTAGTTCACACTCTCTCAGCTACAGAGCTCCCCTGTGAAGATGATGCTGGGGAGAGGCTCTCCTTTCAGCTGTCTCCACACTCCATGTGACCCTCCCTTTGACCTGCTTGAGCCATTCACCTGGTTCCAGCCTGGATACATTGGGAGGCAGCTTTTCTCATCTTCCCTCAACTCAAGGTCCTCTGAGTGGGGGCTGAACCAGACCTGGAGCTCCAAGCACTGACATGGGCTTCCTCCCACCCAGGTGCTGCTGTTTAACTCTGAGGAGGACCGGGGCACCTTTGTTCAGCATCTGCAGGGCTTCTGTGTGCAGTGGACTCTGGGCCTTGACGTGACTGAGTTGGAAGAGAATGAGCTGTTCAGAAGGGCTGTGACCAAGCAGCAGCGGGCCCGTATCCTGGAGATCTTCTTCAGGAACCTCTTTGCCCAGGTGCCATGAGTGTGTCTTTTGGAGGCAGGACCTGGCCCAGGGTTGGAGGGAAGCTGGGCTGGACAGGGTCCTGCATGGGGTAAACGAAGTCTGTGTGCTGGAGAGAGACAGCGTTGATTGAATCCTAGCATTGCCACTCACTAGCTGTGTGACTTTAGGCCAGTCACATCATCTCTGCTCTGTATCTCCACTTCCTCATCTATAAAACAGTGATTAAAATAGGATCCACTGGCATTCCCAGGTATCCCCCATATGGAATATAGAAAAAATAAAATAAAATAAAATAAAATAAAATAAAATAAAATAAAATAAAATAAAAGTAATAGGATCCATCACCTTGGGTTGTTGTGAGGATTCAGTGAGATAGTCTACATCAGTGGTTCTCAAAGTGTGGCCTCTGGACCAGCAGCCGCCACCTAACCTGGGAATTTGTTAAAAATATAAATCCCCAGCAGTCTCCACCAAATCCAGCTAATCAGAAGATTGTTTATCTGGCCAGGCCCCTGCCTCCAGGAGACCAAATCAGGCACATGGTAGCTCTGTCTAAATTGACAAGAGAATAAATATATCCCTAGCCTTTTCCTGCCTGTCCACCACTGTCTACTTCATTTCTGTCCCCAGTATAGGGCCTCTCATTTCGCATTTTGAATCCCAAACTTTGTTCCCTCCCATTTCCACCCCCCACCTATAGACCTAGCACCATTCCTAACATATAAAGCTCCTGGATCTTGAATCCAGGGAAAAAATGGGCTGGCTGCTAGAGATCTGAGTCACTGCCTCAGAGGCCCAGGTCAGAAGTATATCTAAGGATCAGGAAAGCTACAAGGGCTCACTATTTCTGAATTGGACTTTTGGGAGATGTGAAGGGTCACTGAACTGCATTCAGCCCAGGCCTCACCTTCTTCTCTCCTTCCCTCTGCTACTGCCCGAGTGCAGGTGCTGGACATCGACCAGGCGAATGCAGGCACCCTGCCCCTGGACTCCTCACAGAAGGTGCGGGAGGCCCTGACTTGTGAGCTGAGCAGAGCTGAGTTTGCCGAGTCCCTGGGCCTCAAGCCCCAGGACATGTTTGTAGAGTCCATGTTCTCTCTTGCTGACAAAGATGGCAATGGCTATCTGTCCTTCCGGGAGTTT